ACCCCTCCCCCCCATATCTCACCTCACGTCCACAGACATGAGATCCACATATAATACCCTTTCACAGATATCCACCAATTTTGAGACCCTTTTAAAGGTCATCCTTGTGCCTTTAGTCTTAATTACATAGATAGTAAAGTCATAAAACCAACCAAGAAAGTAGGGTCCTATATTTTTTGAGAGGTTATTTTATATTATAAGAGAACCTCAAACAAAATTCATTCATTCAACCAAATCACTGGGTGTCCTATAACCATATCTGTTTTTCTCCATCTTTGTTCTTTCGTTTATATCATTCAAGATCATAGATCTTGACCAAAACCCAAATACATTTCCTTTTGTAATAAAACCAACAAAGGTTTAAATCATTCTCTTTGTAATTTCCTTTATTTCATTATTACTAGCTCTATCTCATCCAAGAAATGGACTCCGTAGAACTACAAAGAATTTTTCAAATGTTTGATCGTAACGGAGACGGAAATATTACAAAAAAGGAGCTTAGCATCTCGTTACAAAACTTGGGAATACACATTGAGGAGAAAGAACTTGTCCATATGATCGAAAAAATAGACGTAAACGGAGACGGATACGTAGACATAGATGAATTTGGAAGATTGTACAAGACTATCATGGACGAGAAGGATGAAGAAGAGGATATGAGAGAAGCTTTTAATGTGTTTGATCAAAATGGTGATGGATATATTACAGTGGAAGAATTGAGGTCAGTTTTGGGTTCACTAGGGTTGAAACAAGGCAAAACTTTAGAAGATTGTAAGAGGATGATAATGAAAGTGGATGTGGATGGTGATGGAATGGTTGATTTCAAGGAATTTAGACAAATGATGAAAGGGGGTGGATTTGCTTCCTTGAACTCATGAATTTTATGACATGAAAAATGGAAAAGAAAAGGATATATAACTAGTGCTACCCTTTTTGTAACATGTGGATTTTGAATGAATCAATGCATGTCATATTTCTTCAATCTTGAGATCAAATACTTGTTCGACTTTTTTTCTTTTTCGGTTTCATCGTGTCATGATATAATATTTTTTAAAGAAATTTTAAAATCAATCGTTCAACTAACTATATTTCAGTATCAAATCAAGTTAGAGTCGTTCCTTTATATCTATGATCAAGAGAGGTAGTCCCTGAAAACAAATCAAGGACGCTTTGCATTATGTAGCTAAAATTAGTCCAAGCTTTTAAATTAGCCAACTTAAGCTATATCCGAAATGACCCGATAAGGAATAAGTAGCCAGAATCGCATAAGTTTGGATTAGATGAAAATTTCCTTATTTTTATGAGCTAAAGTTGACACTCCTAGCAACCAAAATCATATTTGTTGCACAATATGCCAATGTAAACAAATTACCCAATAATGTTGCTACAATTCAAACTGCAGTGCCATAACCTTGATTCCCAACATCATCCGATTATGCTATTTGTGCCAATTAACTATGTGCAAAAGATCGTACAAATGGCACTAGGTAACCTCTTTGAGCACTCCTATTTAATACTTATCCAAATTTTAAAAATTATTTAAAGTTATGGCCAGTTTTGGCAAATTTCAGATAGTTCATACATGCTACTAGGGGTGTACAAATGAAATCGATAAATCGCATCAACCCGATAATCTGAGTTAAATCGAGAAAAAAAACCCGACTATGATTTGTTGGTTTGGTGTTGGAAAAAAACCCGACCATATTTGGTTTTGTTTGGTTTAACTAAAAAAAGTCAAACCGAAACCAAACCAACCCGACATTATATATATATATAGAAGTTTTAAATATGTTTAATACATAATGATATTTTTTGTAGTGTAATTTATAAATATTTCTTAAGCTTTTTCATAGTTTTATCTTTTTCGCGTATTATTTCAAGTTTAAACTTATAATTTTTGGATGCTCCAATAAATTTTATAGTTCATAAATGTTAGTAACTCAAATAAATCCTAAACCAATATCAAGTCAATACTAATGTTAATAAAAGACATTCAATTCAATTATACTATGAATGAAAATAGTGTTGAATATCTATTTTTTAGTTTTTTCGTAGTTTAGATAAAATGCATAACTTATTTTTCTTTTAGTGTTTAGTTATGTAAATAATAGTACTTATTGGTCGTACTTATTTTAGCAACTTATTAGTAATTTTAAATTATGTTTGTTTTCATTATAGCTTATTAATAATACGTATTTTATGCGATTTTATTATTTTTATTATTGAGTATTTTAATACAATGCCATGACTCATCTCATATTTATGTTATTTTGTTGAAAAACACCTTATATAGTTCTATCTTACTAGGATTAAAGAAATAATTGGAGCGCGAATTCTATATTTTGTGCTATGAAGACTTTATGGAAGAAAAAACCCCTGAAAACCCGAAAAACTAGAGAAAAACCAAGATTAAAAAACCTGATTTTTATTGGTTTGGTTTGGTCTTTAGATTTAATAACCCGATACAATTGGTTTGGTTTGGTAATTAGAAAATCCGAACCAACCCGACCTATGTATACCCCTACGTGCCGCTGCATCTTTTTCTTCACCCGACGGTATGAAGTTGACTTTAAGGTGGCTAAGCTTTAAACTTTATAAGTTTCGGTTATTTCTTAAATAGGGGGTCCTAGAAATGGCTATTTGTGCACTTTATACTAAAAGGTAGTGATAGTTTGGGCCATTAGTGCAACTGTAGTAGCCCAGCTCATTTACCTTGTTCATTTTCTCTCAAAAAGGCCTGCTTAGTTCCTCCGTCGGACACCTGAAAGAGTGAAAAATGCTAGGAAGAAGTTTTGTTCCGGCGACGCTCTGCAAATCACGACAGCTTCAACGTCTCTTCTTCTACCCCTTCATTTTCCAACCCGTTTTAGCCCATTCCTCTCCCCACCAAACCAGGTATTTCTCTCTCTCTCTCTCT